CTCAATATTACTCTGCATTCTCTCTAGGAAGGAAGTCTACTCTTTCTTTCCCAAAAGTTCGTTGCTATAGTTAACAAAGTCGATTATCAGCCTGGGTCTGTCTTTATTCAAGAATACCTGAACATATGACTAAAACATTGTCTCTCCTCTACTTAAAGTCACCCATTGTCTTTTTGTGCTCAGAATGAAACCAGAAATCCTGACCAGGCCCCTGGTCTCCTCACTTTCCTGTTCTACCCACTCTGTCTGACCTGCTCACTAGTGGCCAAGGTCTTGTGATAAGGTAAAAGGGGAGTAGAGGACTCTTTTAAGGTCAGATCATCAGATCAGCACTGAAAGGTTTTGTGTTCACTGGAATGTACAGGAATTTTGTCTCATGAATATTTAAAGTTGTGCCCAGGGCAGTGAACCCTTCAGTCAACAAGGAAATACACGTTCACCAGCTGTTTAGTGAACTGACATTGAGGCATTTATGGGCTTTGTGCAAAGTCAGGAGTGTGTGTGTGGAGGGGGGGCAGGCACAGTCATAACTGGGCTGTGCCACAGGCTGTTTGTTCAATGCTGTGTTTGTTGTCTTCCTTCTGTTGCTTTAAGAATATGGCCACCCACGTTCTAAAATTTGTGAGTGTGCTTGAACAGTTTTTGCTGTTATTGTTGTGTTTTGGTGCTAGTTAGCATATCTTTCCAGAACAGGAGAAGCCTCCTTTGTCCTTTCGAAGACCTGTAGTATGTACTACAGCTTTAGCAAAAGGCACTCAACAAACACCTTTTCCTCTACAGTGGCTTTCAGTTCACAAAATGTCACAGAAACAAAAATACCAAAACCATGTCAAATCAACTCCCTCCTCGCCTCCAGCAAAGACCCCCAACCACAGCAAAAGAAAACCAGGGATTCTTTTTTTGTCAGTCCTGGGACTTGACTCAGGGCCTGCTCACTGTCCCTGAGCTTTTGCTCAAGGCAAGCACTCTACCACTTGAGCCACAACACCACTTCCAGCTTCTTTTTCTGTGTATATGGTACTAAGGAATTGAACCCAGGGCTTCATGCATGCAAGGCAAGTACTCTACCACTGAACCTCATTCCCAGTCCCAAACCAGAGATTCTTACAAATCACTATAGAAGTGAGAGTTCCTTTCACAAACTCCATTCATTTGTAGTTCAAGTAACGGAACATCTAGGATAAATGCGAACAGTGAACACACCTGCTCACTCAGTAGCTCACACCCTCATTCACCGAGTTGTTCGAGTGACAGACTCACAAATCACACATTACAGATGCACCCTAACAATCTGATCAGGAAATGATCATCGTAATAAGGAAACATTTATAATAGTAATATATGAAAATATAACCTCTTCCATGATCATATTTTAATTCCCACAAAAGGCCATTGTGGGTAATTTCTTACCTTCACTAACTTTCAAATGAGGAAGGTGAGTCTTGGAGCATTTGTATGACTTAAGTCATTTTGTAAGTTAGTAGTGGGATGGGATTCCGATCCTCCTTTCTCATTCTTTCATATATATTATAAATAGTATTTTCTACTAAACTCTCTGTGTAGGCTCTTTTAGATAGAAAGCACTGTAGGGCTTTTGAAAAATATTTTATTGTATTTATCAGTCATGGGGCTTGAACTCAGGGCCTGAGCACTGGCCCTGTTCTATTTTGCCAAGGCAAGTGCTCTACCACTTTGAGCCATAGAGCCACTTCTGGTTTTCTAGTGGTTAACTGGAGATAAGAGTCTCATGGGCTTCCCTGCCTGGGCTGGTTTATAACTGCAATCCTCAGATCTCAGCCTCCTGAGTATTTGAAAAAAAATTTTTTTTTGGTCTGTCATGGGGCTTGAACTGGGCCTAGGCACTGTCCCTGACCTCTTCAGCTCAAGGCTAGTGCTCTACCACTTGAGCCACAGCGCCACTTCCAGTTTTCTCGTGGTTTATTGGAGATAAGAGTTTCACGGACTTTCCTGCCCAGGCTGGCTTTGAACCATGATCCTCAGATCTTAACCTGCTGAGCAGCTAGGATTAGGGGCATGAGCCACTGGCTCCCGGCTTTGAAAAGTATTTTAATTAGCACAAATCCTGTAGGGAGTTTTGATATGTTGACAGAGTTGGCAAGCAGCAACCCAAACAGCTAAATGAATTCTTAACAATTAGCACATTCTTAGATCTAACTGGAAAATGCCACTATGTTAGGAGTTATTCTAATCTGGGTTGGTGGTTTACCAGTCTTGGGCATGGTTTTCTCCCACTGGATTCTGTGTACTGTGGGTGAGGCCCATAGGCTGTTCACCTGGCAGTTCCCATAGCCTTCCTGGGAGGGTCTGGCACAAAGATGTGGGATGTCTACTGTTTGTCAGGAAGCGAAGGACACACCTTTGATGAAGGATCATTACCCACCTAGAATATCCTTCTGATTCCCTGATGGGTCACTTGCATTTTATCACTTCCTCCTGGTTGTTAGACCAGACAGTGTTCAAAGACCAGGCCTGGTGCACAGGTGAATGGCAATATAATCAAGAGGAAATAGCTGCCCCCTGCATCTGCTTTCTTCTGAAGACACAAAAACACAGTTGTTCCCCTGTTAGCTCTTCACAGTGGTCAGTGAAAAACTCAGAGGCAGTGGATGAAAGGAAACAATTCTTTATAACTGAAAGATATATAATGGCTTGGATAACATTAAGGATGGAAATGTGCAATCTATCTACCTATCCATTCATCCATTCTGTCTATCCATCCATCCATGTATGTATGTGTCTATCTATCTCTCAGTCATCTATTTACCCATTTATCATCTATCTGTTTGTCTATCATCTATGTATCCATGTGTCATCCTTCTATCATCTGCCTATTTTTCTGTGGTACTGAGGATTAAGCCTAGGGCTTCAAACATGTTATGCAAGCAGTTTATCATAAGCTATACCCACTCTCCATCCATGACTATGGCATGCATTATATCATTTCCTTTATCTAGCAAACGTTTTCTGGTTTTGTTTTAGTTGACTGAGCTGAAAATATAGTTTGACTTCATGAGTGTATCTAGCCTGCACCTGATAAATGGGTGGGCCCCATGTTCCCTGAGTACCACCCTGAAAAGCCTCTTCAGGTGGATGGGTACCATTGGGAATTAATTTGTGTTGTGGGTCACTGAGTTTTTAAGAAGGAGGCTTATAAATACCTCAGATAATACTTATAATGCTGTTTACAATGCTGTTTAGCTCATTCACAATTGCATGACCTTTTTTGTTGTTGTTGGTCACAGGGTTCAAACTCAGGGCTTGGGAGCTGTCCTGAGATTTTCTGCTCAAGGCTAGCACTCTACCACTTGAACCACAGTGCCATTTCTGACTTTTTCTGTTTATGTGGTGCTGAGGAATTGAACCCAGGACTTCATGCATGCTAGGCAAGTACTCTACCACTAAGCCACATTTCCAGCCCTTGCATAAAATTTTACAGAAAAAAATTCCAGTGGGTATAGTTTTGAAATTTTATAGAATAATAAAAGTATCTGCCTCATAGATTTAGACTTGGGGTTAAATGCTTAATAGAGCAGAAGTCATGTGAGCTGTTATTAGGGAGGAGTTGGAGACAGACCAAGTGTTATATTAATGAGTTTGGAATGCACACATGGACTTGGCCTGAAAGAAATGAGCCATAGATGTTTGTTACCTCATTCAATAGTAGTTACTGAGACCAGCCATCTCAGGCAGCATTCTAAGAACTCAGTGGAACAATGACTAAAACCAGCCAAATCTCTCCATTATGGAATGTACACGCTAAGCGATATGAAACGTGTCCTATCCTAATTCTCTTCCCAACATTGCTCTTGCTGGCCTGTGGTTTTGCTTTTGACTTTTCAAGGAAAGGCCCTCTATGGAGGTAGCATTTTTCTGTGGACAGAAGATCTTATGACTTTTTTTTTTTTTTTTTTTTTGGTCGGTCGTGGGGCTTGAACTCTGGGCCTGGGCGCTGTCCCTCAGCTCTTCAGCTCAAGGCGAGCGCTCTACCACTTGAGCTACAGCGCCACTTCCGGTTTTCTGGTGGTTTATTGGAGATAGGAGTCTCACGGTCTCTCCTGCCCGGGCTGGCTTTGAACCGCGATCCTCAGATCTCAGCCTCCTGAGTAGCTAGGATTACAGGCGTGAGCCACCAGCGCCCGGCTGATCTTATGACTTTTTAAAAAATGTTTTCGCGCGCGCGCGCGCAGCGCGCGTGTGGTGTGTGTGTGTGTGTGTGTGTGATGGTCCTGGTACTTGAATTTGAGGCCTTGTTCTCTCACTTAGCTTTTTTTGCTCCAGACTGGTATTCTACCGTATGAGTCACACCTCCACTTCCAGCTTTTTGCTGGTTAATCAGAGATAAGAGTCTTGTAGACTTTTCTGCTTGGGCTGGTCTCAAACCATGACCATGGGAGGCTTACAGGCGTGACCCATCAGCGCCTAGTTTTCTATTTGTTTTATAAGACTCTCAACACAGGGCAAGACTGGTGGCCTGTTACGTTCCTTTCCCACTCCATGCCTGGCACAGTGTGTTCTAGTGAGCTCAAAGTATAGTTGCTGAATGGCCAGCCAGTCCCAGAAGCAAACTGTGGACTAATGGCCTCCATGTTTTGTTATCAAATAATCTGAAGGGGTAAAGATGAGCATTAGTGATAGATGAAGATGTGCTGTACAACTTCCATAGGATGAGTGCTTGAAGAGGAGAGGAAACGAATTTGCCCTTGAAGAAGGAGCAAGATTGAGGTAGACAACAGGAGGTGGGCATTGCTGGCGGGTGAGTAGAAGCCCTGTATGTGGCTGAACGGCCCCCAGGGAATCTGCTCCATTCAGCAGGCAATAGTAGAGCGGCGATGGTTTCTACCCCAGATGGGGGAATGACATGTAGATGGCGGATATTGTGCAGTGTTCTTCCCAGCTACATTTGGTGCTGTTGTTTGAACTTAGAGTTTGTAGGTATTTAATGAGTTAGGCTGATGGGGTTTAGTAGTTTGTCACCAGCCTTATAAAACATGAAGAGAACTGAGAGTAGGAGAGTGGATCAGCCCAAACGGAGAAGGCGCTGTTTGATGAGGCTTCCATTTCAGCTGCACATGTGCAGTTGTGCAGCGCAGGTGTGCAGTGCAGGTGTGCAGTACAGGTGTGCTGTGGCAGCTGGGGTGTGAATCATGAAGTGGGCTGTATTCAGAAAAGCTCCAGAGTTCCTGAGCCAGACTTCTCCATGGGAGTTCTGATGTTAGTGAGATCTGCCTCCTTGCTCTACGTGATAGAAACACGTATATCCTCAGCAGCTATATTATCTTAATTCTACCCATTTGAGAGGATCCTATATACACTGGAACTAGACTATGTCAAATACAAAGGAAAAAAAGAAAGGAAAACAAATTAAAAAGATATTCATTCTCTGCTAACTATTACCATATGGACAGAGCCTCAAATCCAAGAGCCTCTGCAATAATTTCTCTTTCTCTTTCTCTCTTTCTCCTTCCTTCCTTCCTTCCTTCCTTCCTTCCTTCCTTCCTTCCTTCCTTCCTTCCTTCCTTCCTTCCTTCCTTCCTTCCTTCCTTCCTTCCTTCCTTCCAGTCCTGGGGGCTTGAATTTAAGTCCTGAGTGCTATCCCTTAGCTTTTTCTCTCAAAGCTAACGTTCTACTACTTGAGCCACAGTTGCACTTCCAGCTTTTTGGTGGATAATTGGATTTAACAGTCTCATATGACTTTCCTGCCCAGGGTTGGCTTCCAACAGTGTTCCTCCAATTTCAGCCTCCTGAGTTTCTAGGATTATAGGCAGGAACCTGGGTTTTACTGTAGATTCTATGGAGTGGGGGGAGGGGAGAAGAAGAGGTATAGGTGGGCGGTTGCTTGGCAACCAAGGGTCTTGTCATTCAGCTCACTGTGCAGGGAATGCTTGTTTCCAGCAAGTTTCAGGGAGACAAACAGTTCTCACTAATGTCAGCTAAATCATTTGTGAGACAAGGAGTTGGAAATTCTATGTCTGTCTGTGTCAGCAGCTTTAGACATGAAAGGAAAGGGCTTTCCTTTTATTCCTGTATCAGATAAACAAGGGAGTCTTCTGGTTTTACAGAGGTCATGAGAAAAGCAGCCGAGCCTTATCTACATCATGTCAGGAAATGTAGTTCTTTTTGATGAAGCCATTTCTTGGAACCTGAGAGTGAAAGACTTCAGAAAACGAAGGGCTGAAGCACATAGCTGCTTTTCCTTTTCTCTTCTTTTTTTTTTTAAAGTTATAATTTTATTATCCTTAAGTCGTTGTACAAAGAGGTTTCAATTCAGCTTGTCAGTTTATGAGTACAATGAATCTTTTTTTTTTTTTTTTTTGCTAGTCCTGGAGCTTGAACTCAGGGCCTGAGCAGTGTCTCTGAGCTTCTTTTGCTCAAGGCTAGCACTCTACCACTTGAGCCACAGCACCACTTCTGGCTTTTTCTGGGAATCAAACGCAGGGCTTTATGCATGCTAGGCAAGCCATGTTCCCAGCTCTCTTTTCTTTTCCTTTTCCTTTTTCTTTCCTTTCTTTATTGTACTAGTCCCGGGGCTTGAACTCTGTCTGGGCCCTGTCCCTGAGCTTTGTGCTCAAGGCTAGCGCATGATCACTTTGAGCCACAGGGCCTTTTTTTTTTTTTTTTTTTTTTTGTAAATTGGAGGTAAGTGTCTTGTGAACTTTCTTGCCTGGGCTGGCTTTGAACTGTGGTCCTCAGATCTCAGCTTGCCGAATAGCGAGGATTACAGGTTGTGAGCCATCAGGCCACAGGTGTTCTTTGAAGGGACTCTTGTAGCTTTGTTAGTGACCACCCTGTTGTCCAAATGGACGAGCATCAGCTATAGGAGAAATGGAGACGGAGGAAAAAGAAAACAACCAAAGGAAAACGGAGCATGAAAATGTAAAGGAAAGTTGCATGGCTGGTCCAATCCCTCCCTTCCTCCTGTTGATGGATTAAAGGAGACAGGCAGGGTGGTGAAAGGGATCCACCCGGAACTGTGGAGTTGCGGGCCTCAGGTCTTATTTCTGGATTGTCTCCTAATGTGCGGAGAATCTAAGACATGCAACATGTTTCTGAATCTCTGTTGCTGTATCTGAAATTGTTGGATTCACAGTCACTGAATCCAAGGATTAAAATTTAGAATTATGGAGGGAAGCTTGTTAAAGAGATGCCTAAGTGCTACACACAGAATTGTGTTTCGGCGGGTAGGAATATACAGTGTCTTTTTAGTGTTTGTCTCTGTCAAGAATCAGCAGGCCAGCTGGCCTTTTACTATTTGAATTCTCTCTGACTTAACATCTCATCCCCAATTACCATGGCGTGGTTAGGGGTGTCTAGTTCTGGTAGATATTGCGGCTGTTACTTTTCTTCCTTTAGGAACACAAATTCAAAAATTCGATTGAGGCTATGACCTGCAAAGATAAAAAAAATTACAGTTCTAACTTCCCTTCCTTCCCTAGTCCTGGGGCTTGAACTCAGGGCATGGGCTCTGTCCCTGAGCTTCCTTTGCTCAAGGCTAATGCTCTACTACTTGAGCCACAGCACCACTTCTGGCCTTTTCTGTGTATGTGGTACTGAGAATCGAACCCAGGGCTTTATGCCTGCTAGGCAAGCACTCTACCACTAAGCCACACTCCCAGTCCCCGTTTTGGTTTTATTGGTTCTTTCTACACACTTTGTGGAGTAGAAGGCAGGCTTTATGGGCTGCCGGTGGCCCCAGCCTGTGTCAGCATAAACCGGAAGGTGGCTATGGTCTTTTAGTTATGGGAATGTTGTATGTCTGTAAAATAAGAATAATCCACAGAGAAACTACCTTTTGGTAGCCCAGAGCTGATGGGGAGCAGGTTGGTTAGGAAGCTCTGTCACAATATGTATTTTGGGATTAAAAAAAAATCTTACTCTGTACAAATATGTATAATTTTGGGGATATGTTTTATACATACACAGACAAAAACATAATTTTTTGGTCTCAAAGCTGTGGTATTCCCCCCAGTTATTTTCAATTTTCTGTGAAATTTGGTGTCCTGAAGTTCCACGTGCAACCACTGGAATGATATACTTTTATTATTATTAATAATATTATTATTGGCAATGACCAAGGCATGTGGAATTGGGTTTTAAAAACTACTTCTGTAGAAATATTAAAAGAATATGTCTGGGTTTTTGGATAAGAACTTAAAACATTGGGGCTGGGAAGGTGGCTCAGTGGTAGAGCAGTTGCCTTGCATGCTCGAGGCCCTGAGTTCAATTCCTCAGCACCACATAAGAAAAAAGCTGGAAGTGGCGCTGTGGCTCAAGTGGTAGAGTGCTAGCTTTGAGCTGAAGAGCTGAGGGACAGCGCCCAGGCCCAGAGTTCAGGCCCCACGACCGGACCCAAAAAAAAAAGAACTTAAAACATTCTAGTCTTTTGCCTTTTTTGGTTTAGTGGAATGAACCTCTTCCCCACAGACATACACATACACCTGTGATAACACACACAGACACACACACAGCCACAACACAAATGCACACTTGCAGACGCACTAGAAACGGAACCAAACCACCCATACAGAGATGGCTGTGAAAGGAAAAGCAACAGAATGACAGTCTCTCTGTATCTCCCTCCCTCCCTCCATTCCTCCCTTCTTCTGCCCTTCCCTCCTCTGTTTTTCTCTCTCTCCTTCCCTTCCTCCCTCTCTCTTCCTCTGTCCCTCCCTCTCTCCTTTCCCCTCCTTGCCCCCTTCTTTCCTTCCCCTTTCTTCTCCTTCCCTCCTTCCCCCCCACCTCACCTTCATTCTTCTCGTCAGGGTTAGTATAGATGGAAGCTAGCGTAAATAAGGAAAAAATAACAAAAGCCAGCAAAATGAAGGCAATTTCCAGGTTGGTGAATGGAAGCTCCATGAACTACCAGAAAATTCTTCCCCTATGAGAGAAAGCAAACATTGAGTTGGCACTCTGTAACTCAGGAGCAAATCCATGTTCTATTGTAGCATCAAATGCTTATGAGCTTTGTGAAACCTAGGAAGATACATCTATAGCTAGAATTATGTCTTTGATGATTGACAGAAACGTAGTGTGGCCTCATGATTCGTAACATTTGGCATACTTAAGCTTGTATCTTCTCCATGTAAATTGGAGTAGAATATGGAAGACTGAAAGGCATATCCAATTTTTTGTTAACATTCCTTGTCAATTCTTTTTTAAACACAGAATAAAGACACAGAATATTTCATTTATTGAAGAAGGAAGTCATATAATGTTAACCCTCCATCTGGCCTTGAATATATACAAGTTTAGGCTAAAATCTTGGGTGTGAAATACCTTGACATTCACTAGCCAGGTGGGAAATATAAAAACAAAGCACATTTTACTGTAAAAATCTGACTTTGGAGCCAGGAGCTGGTGGCTCACGCCTGAAATTGTAGCTACTCATGAGGCTGAGATCTGAGGATCATGGTTCAAAGCCATCCTGGGCAGGAAAGTCTGTGAACCTCTTATCTCCAATTAACCACCAGAAAACCAGAAGTGGAGCTGTGGCTTCAAGTGGTAAGAGCTCAGGAACAGTGCCTAGGACCCCCCCCCCAAAAAAAAAAAAAAAAAAAAAACCAATCTGACCTTGGCTCTTACTTTTTTCTCTTCCTTCCTTCCTTCCTTCCTTCCCTCCTTCCTTCCTTCCTTCCTTCCTTCCTTCCTTCCTTCCTTCCTTCCTTCCTTCCTTCCTTCCTTCCTTCCTTCCTTCCTTCCTTCCTTCCTCCCTTCCTCTTTCTCTTTCTTTCTTTCTTTCTTTCTTTCTCTCTCTCTCTCTTTCTTTCTTTCTCTCTCTCTTTCTTTCTTTCTTTCGTTCTTTCATCTTTTGTCAGTCCTGGGGCTTGAACTCAGGGCCTGAGCTATCCCTGAGCTTCTTTTGCTCAATGCTAGCCCTCTACCACTTGAGCCACTACTTCTGGCCTTTTCTGTTTATGTGGCATTGAGGAGTTGAACTCAGGGTTCATGCATACTAGGCAAGCACTCTACCACGAAGCCACCTTCCCAGCCCTTACATTTCTTTTAGCAATCTTTTGGCTGAATCCTCAAATCTAAACCAAATAAAGACAATGTGTTGACAATTCAAGCATGAAGATGTCTACTTTCAGACCTAAAAACGCAAGGCTCACGTACTGACAGAGGCAACAGTAGCTCCTTTGGGGCTTATCTAGTTAGCAGTAACTTCTCCCTATCTTCCAGTGTTTACTAGACAAAGGCCAAATATTTAAATCTCTTCCAACAAAGGAGGGGAATTCTGAAGACCCAGAAAAGAGGTTTCAACCCCCGCCACTATAAATAACTCATCTCAAAGTCTCCATGTGTTATCTTGGTTAAGAAGGTAATTCATTGGACTCTCTCCTAAGGTTTCAGGTTCCTTTAAGTGTGGTTTTCAAATGACTTCACCACATTCTCTAGATGGGATACCAGGCTTGAGATAGCTTAGGTTTGCTTTCTTTCTTGAGTTTTCATTGTGGGGCGGAGGTGGGAGCTCTTCAAACATCAGATGATTTATACAGATTTCTGTGATTTTTGAATTTGTGGCTTTTATTTTTAACATTGGACAATATTTTGGGGGATATTTGCTCAGAGAGTTTCGGCTTTTATAGTTTCTATAGAACTGAATTTTGGACATGCCATGTATATGGCATAAGATGCACATTTTAAAATGGAAAAATGTAAAACAGAAACCCCACAGAGTGGGTAAGGGTTTTGTCTTGGAACTGTTTGCTATTAGTGTCTGCTGGCCCAGCTTTCTGGTTAGTGATGGCTGGCATTATAGTGTGTGTCTCTGCTACAGTGTGAGTGGATACACATTTGTGTTCTATCTCATTCCCCATCATTTGCAATAAAGCAGAAACGTTTTTTGTTTTTTGTTTTTGTTTTTGTTGGTCATGGGGCTTGAACTCTGGGCTTGGGCACTGTCCCTGAACTCTTCAGCTCAAGGCAAGCACTCTATCACTTGAATCACAGCACCACTTCCAGTTTTCTGATGGTTAATTGGAGCTAAGAGTCTTATGGACTTTCTTGCCCAGGCTGGCTTTGAAGCATGATCCTCAGATCTCAGCCTCCTAAATAGTTAGGATTATAGGTGTGAGCCACTGGCTCCTGGCTCAAGAAAATAATTTTTTTTGAACAGTTCAGGGATTTAAACTTAGGGCCTTTTACTTGCTAGACAAGTGCTCTACCACTTGAAATTTATTCCCAGCCCTCAGAAGAATTTTTTTTTTTTTGGTGGTACTAGGATTTGAATTCAGAGTCTTGAGCTTGCTTGGCTTGCTTACTCAGGTGGAGCTCTACTTCTGACTCAGTCTTCCACTCTAGCTTTTTCCTGATTCTTATGGAGATGGAGCTTAGTGGACTGTTTGCCAAGAGTTGGCTTTTGGCCTCAAACGTGGGATTTCAGCTTCCCCCGTAGCTAGAATTGTGGATGTTATGGATGTGAGCCATGGATATTTGGCATCAACTTTTCTTTCTTTCTTTCCTTCTTTCTTTCTTTCTTCCCTTTCTCTCTCTTTCTTTCTTTCTTTCTTTCTTTCTTTCTTTCTTTCTTTCTTTCTTTCTTTCTTTCTTTCTTTCTTTCTTTCTTTCTTTCTTTCTTTCTTTCTTTCTTTCCCTCCCTCCCTCCCTCCCTCCCTCCCTCCCTCCTCCTCCTCCTTTCTTCTTTCTGCCAGTCCTGGGGCTTGGGCTTCGGTGTTCTCCCTGACCTTCTTTTGCTAAAGGCTAGTTCTCTACCCCTTGAACTACAGCTCCATTTCCAGCTTTTTCTGTGATTAATTGGAGATAAGAGTTCTGAACTTTTAGCCCTGACTGGTTTAGAACTGTGATCCTCAGATCTCAGTCTCCTGAGTAGCTAGGATTATGGGTGTGAACCTTTAGCACATTGTTTTTGTTGGTCATGGGGCTTGAACTCTGGGCCTGGGTGTTGTACCTCAGCTCTTCAGCTCAAGGCTAGCACTCTACCACTTGAGTCTCAGTGTAACTTCTGGTTTCCTGGTGGTTTATTGGAGCTAAGCGTTTCCACGGACTTTTCTTGACTGGCTGGTTTTGAACTGTGATCCTCAGATCTCAGCCTCCTGAGTAACTAGGATTATAGGCGTGAGCCACCAACACCCGGCTTTCAGCACATTTTTATAAGTATAACTTTACAGACAGTTATAGATATTTCTAAAGTAGGTTGCCAGATCTCTAAAATTTCAAAATATGAGTCTTTGAGAAAACATTCCTGGGAATTGCCTCTGCACAGTGAGTGCTGGTGAAGCTCTCTCCTCCATTGTCTCCATAACATTCCTTTTGCCGTTGCTGTACCACTGTACCCTGTCATTGTGTTCACCCATAGCTGGGATCATAGGCAAGTGCTACCACACTCAGCCACTGACTGAGGTAAAATCTTTGAACTTTTTTTTTTGCCCAGGATGGCCTTGAACTTCCATCCCCTGGTCTTTGCTTTCCAGGTAGCTGGGATTATAAGCTTGAGCCAGCTCCAAGAGAATCCTCATTTTTTGGGGGGGAGGGACGGGAGGGGGGGAGGGGAGTCAGTTGTGGGGCCTGAACTCTTGGCCTGGGCGCTGTCCCTCAGCTTCTCAGCTCATGGCTAGCGCTCTAACACTTGAGCCACAGTGCCACTTCCAGCTTTTCTGCTTATGTGGTGCTGAAGAATCGAACCCAGGGCCTCATGCATGTGAGGCAAGTAGTCTACCACTGAGCCACCTTCCCAGACAGAATCCTCACTTTTAACCAGAACGTTTTCCTGGCACTCAACCAGCCAACCAACCAACCCACAATATAACCCTAATAGCATCATGTTTTACAAACTATTATGTGCATGAATTGGAGGGAGATTTTTATGGTAGGTGATAAGAAGGGTAGGTTTGGTTGCATGAGAAAAGAAGGATCTAATTACAATGTGAGAACTTGGTTTTGAGTTATAGTATGAGGAAAAATAAAATGACAGAGGAGTTAGATTTGTAGCTCTCTTCTGTGATTTTAGGAACACGGACAGAGAAGAAAGAATGAAGCTAGGACTGCTTTGAGGGAGGATTTTGGAAGCTTTTTGCTATGTGAAATGCAGATGTTACCCCCACACTCATTAAAATGAAGTACAACGAAAAAGACTAGAGGAGTATCACCAGAGCACAAGATCCAGTCATATTGAGTCGAGTGGAGAGAAAATTAATCTTCCCAAACTTCCTGGGGCACTGGACATACAGATGCCCTTTGAATACATTCTGCTGTCCATCACGGTTTGAAACGACTTTAAAAGATTGTTACTGACAATGTTCTGTGAGGTGGGGGGGCGAGGGAGAGGAGAGGCAGTAAAACGGAATAGAAAGAGTGCCACCTAGTGGTGGATCTGAGTGTTATTCATAGGAGGAAGTTAAAAGTTCACTCCTGAGTCTTCAGGTACCAGGGTCAAGCAAAATGGTCTGCAAGCCCTCCTCATCTGTCCCACTGGTGTTCATTTAGTGGTTTCAGCAAGGAGACAGATCATACACAACGAGTTACTTCTTGTTCATTGTCCCCCATGCTTTCATTGTGGTAAACAGAAGTACATATCAAAGTCCGTAATGACCTTTGGACTTTTTGTAGAAATTGATAGCTGTGTGAAAAGCTATAGTGAAATAACATATATTATTGTCCAGGACACATGGCTACTGAATGGCAGAAAGCTCAGCAGTAGAGAGCGGGCTTAGCATGTGAGTCCCTGGGTTACACACACACACACACACACAGAGTGCAAAGATGATGCTTTTTGTATATTTCTTGCATTCCCCCCCCCCCCCCCAGGTTGTATACTTGTAGTTTGTTTTCGGACATTTATGTAAAACTGTTTGATACATAAATGCATTTGATCTGTGTATCTTCTCAAGGGGTTAGCATTATCTGTCATTCTGTCATCATTATTTTTTTCTTTCTTTATGGTTCTGGGGTCAATCCCAGAACCCTGGGTCAAGCCCAGGGTTAATATGTACCATATGAGCTGACCCACACCCCTAGCTCTGCAGTTATTATTTAGTAGCAAAGTGGAGATAACCCATGACCATTTTGCATGATAAAAATTCTTTCCTCGTTTATTTATTTGTTCATCTATTTATGCAAGTCTTGGGCTTGAACTAGGGTTCTGAGCACTGTCGCTGAGCTTTTCTTACTCAAGGCTAACATTCTACTACTTGAACCACAACTTCACTTATGGCTTTTTTGGTAGTTAATTGGAGATAAGAGTCTCATGGACTTTCTGGACCCGTCTGGCTTTGAACTGAGATCCTCAGATCACAGCCTCCTGAGTAGGTAGGATTACAGGCATGAGCCACTGGTGTTCACTAATTACCACTCTTATTATATAGATTACATTTAAGCTTATCAAAGCTTATTCATGTCATTGTGACTAAAATATGGCTACCTTGAGCTGTCTTTTTGTTAGAAAATTCCAGGGAATCAGTAAATTTCAGATACTATCTCTGGATAGTGGACTAGTCTTTAGAGCCAACTTTTCCTTCCTTCCTTCCTTCTTTCCTTCCTATCTCCCTCCCTCTATATATTTTTTTCTTTTTTGTCGGTCATGGGGCTTGAATTCTGGGCCTGGGTGCTGTCCCTTAGCAATCCAGCTCAAGGCTAGCACCTGAGCCACAGCACCACTTCCCTCCCGCCCTCCCTCCCTCCCGCAGTGCCACTTCTGGCTTTTTCTGCATATGTGATGCTGAAGAATAGAACCCAGGGCCTTATGCATGCAAGGCAAGCACTCTACCACTCAAAGCGGTAGAGCATTAGCCTTGAACAAAAGAGCTCAGGTACAGTGCCCAGGTCTTGAGTGAAAAAGAATCCAAGTTTTACATAATCAACTAAATATTAGAATAGACACCCAGAAAAGAAGAGATACAGTTTTTACAAAATCGATATGCAATTTTTCAAAATTGACTATATATTGGAATAGACAGACAGAAAAGAAGATATGCAAGAAGATCTGTCACCAGACAAATGAAAATAAAACCACAGTGAGCTACAGGAGTATTACCAGCCACCAGAATGACTAAAGTTAAACTGAAATCCCCTGAGTCAGGGAATGGAAATTCTCACAGGAAGTGACTTCAGCATAGCGATGATGCTGTCGCCCAGGGAAAAGCTCTGCCACTGTCTTCCAGAAGGAAAACTACAACTCCATTTGGACCCCGTCATTCCACTCCTAGATATTTACACAAGAGCCTGAAAACATATCCGGAGAAAGGCTTGTACATATTTCTAACAGGCTTATTTGTAATAGCCCAAATTGGACAAAACTCCAGTGTTCATCCACAAGAGAGCGTCTAAAGAATCTGTCACATGCTCACATGATGAACTACAATCCTATAATAAAAAGAATGTCTCCAAACTGAAAATCTAGAAAAAAAAATTGGCCACAGATTCTGATGATCAAATACTTGTTATCTAAAGGAAAGAGAAATATTCAGGAGGAAATGTTAATCATTGTTCTGCGTTTAATCCTAAACCGAAAACAGGGAAATCATTATTTCACTGTGCCCCTCAGAAATGTTTTTCTTGAAAAATGACTTTCCACGTTCACTACAACATGGTGTCGTATTTTCAACAGTAAGAAAAAGTATGAGAACCAGGTGAGGTCTTATGATTTAATCAGAGTTGCTTAATTCTCTCTCTAATCAAATGAAAATATCTATCTTCTAACTTGAGAAAGGGCGGTAGACTGGAACAAAGCAGCTATACATAGCTAAGGGGAGAAAAATATGGTCTGAGGAGGATTTTTCCTCTCCTCACCTTTTCTGTCTTTCTGTATCTTTCTTTCTTCTACTGTAAAAAAAAAAAATAGGTCCAAGAAAGAACAGTAAGTAGAATTTACACTTGGATCCACACAATAGTATATTATTAGTTAATTGGAACTCATAGGAGAGTTTCATTTGAAGGCACAGAAAGTTGAGAAGTTTTATACAGACTTACCAGAGCATTTCTGTCCCCAAGAACAGCCAGAAGGAAGGAATTCGAAAGCCTGAGTCAAACAGAGTCATCTGTGTGTGAGGTTGGGAGCGGACAATCTGCTTCTGTTAATAAACATTTTCGTCTGCTCTCTAGCCGGCCCTGAGCAAGTAAGCACTTCCTTTTGTCAATTCGTTCACCTCCACCCCTCACCACCGAGCTGGAGTTTTCTTCAGGATTTGTCCAAGGGGAATCTGTACTCTTAAGGAAAAAAAAAATCAGTCCCTTGTGAAGAATTGAGAAGGAAGCAGGAAACTATGAGATACAGTAGTTTACTTTTTCTATCACACACCTTTCTGCAAATACCACTAATATATACAGCCCAGAGCAAGCAAATAGAACCATTTGGCTCACCACACCTTCACTCCGACAGGTGCTTCCTAGAAGTGACGTGGTTGAACACAGGTCAATTTCTATAGCATTCTTTAACTTTTATGATAACAGCTGGGCTGAATAGATGAGAGTTTGATGAACCATTAACTTTCCCACCCCTATTTACCTTGGGACTATAGCGCTAGTGACCAACTTTGCCTTTTTCTTTTTCTTTCTTTTTTTGTCAGTCATGGAGCTTGAACGCTGGGCCTCTACCACTTGAGCCACTGCACCACTTCCAGTTTTCTGTGTGGTTTATTGGAGATAAGAGTCTCATGGACTTTCCTGCCCGGGCTGGCTTTGAACCTTGATCCTCAGATCTCCTGAGTAGCTAGGTGTGAGCCACCAGCGCCCGGCTCTTTTTAATTGTTATTCTAAAGGTGATATACAGAGGGCCACAGTTACATAAATCAGGTAAAGAGTACATTTCTTTTTGGACAATGTCACCATTTCCCTCAGTCTCTCCCAGCGTCTCCTCTCTCCCACACAGAGTTCATTTTCCACATAAAGTCCAGTGAGTACCACCGCTGCATTTATTCACCCTTTGTCCCTCCATGTCTGTGCCTCTCCTTACTCTCCCAAAGATATATAAATGAACAAACAGAACACAAAGGAAAGAAAAAAAAGCAAAGAAGCAAACCCCGCCCCCCCCCCCAAGCCCCTCTTGTTTCCATTTCCTGGAGTTCATCTTTGCCTTAGTTTTTACTGTTATATTTTTTAATTTAAATTTTCTTGTAAAGGTGATGTATAGAGGGGTTACAGTTACATAAGTCAGGTAATGAGTACATTTCTTTTTGGACAGTGTTGCTCCTCCCTCATTTTCTCCCCGTTTTTCCCCTCTTTCCCTTCCCCTCCAAGTTGTATAGTTTATTTCCAACGTAGTGTCTGGTGAGTAGCACTGCTGAATTGGTTCACCCTTTGTCCCATGCTTTCTTACGTACAAGACAAAGCGTTCAGAAATCAAAATCAGTTACAAAAGGGAAGAAACCGAAGGGGGGAGGGAGAAGAACTGTAAACAATACAATAAAAAGATCTCTTGTTTCCATTTCTTGGAATTCATTTCAATAAGCATCATTTTATATGATCATACACACATAGCTATTGAGCCCTTGTGATCCTCTCCTAAGGATATCTTCCTTGGTTCTTTGTGTGAATGCTTACAGTGTTTGATTAATCATGTCCAAGTGTAATTATTTTTTTTCCCTATCCATTGGATTTATGTGTAGATTTATAGGTACATTTTTATTATTACAAATGGGGGAAACCACACAGCCTATGCTTCTTTTGGTCTACCTTACTTCACCTAATATAATTTTTCTCAGTCTTTCCATTATGAATAGGGCGGTGTCATTCTTTCTGATGGAGGCATAGAATTCCACTGTATATACCACATTTTCTTGATCCATTCATCTACTGAGGGGCATCTGGGTTGATTCCATATCTTGGCAATGGTAAATAATGCTGCGATAAACATAGTGGTGCTGGTAGGTTTAGTGTGGCCTTGTTTGTGATCATTTGGGTAAATGCCCAGGAGTGGGATTGCTGGTCATAGCAGAGCTCTATGTATAGTGTCTTGAGGAACCTCCAAACAAATTTCCAGAGTGATTGAACCACTTTACACTTCCACTAACAGTGTAGTAGGGTTCCCTTTTGGCCACACCCCCCTCCAGCATTATTATTAGTTTTCTTGATAAAGGCCATTCTAATTGGGGTGAGGTGGAATTTCAGTGTGATTTTGATTTTCATTTCTTTTATGGCCAGAGATGTTGAACATTTCTTCATGTGTCTATTGGCCATTCTTATTTCCTCTTCAGAGAAGTCTCTCTTTAGCTCATTTGTTAATGGGGTGGTTGTTTCTTTGAGGATTTGTTGTTGGGGAATTTAATTTTTTTGAGCTCTAAGTATATTTTAGATATAAGAACCTTGTCCGTTGTATGGCTAATGAGGATCTTCTCCCAAACTGTAGGCTTTCTATTTATCTTGATAGCGATGTCCTTTGCCATGCAGAAGCTCTGCAGTTCAATGCAATCCCATTTATCCAGCCTTTCTTTGATTTGTTGTGATTCTGAATTTTTATTTAGTAAGTTTCAACCTATGCTGAGGAGCCCTAGTGTTTGTAGTAATGTTGTAGGGTAGGAATATTTTTTAAAAAACTTTTCATAGTAGAGAACTTTGAGTTTTCCCAAAATATTTAAGACAGTTTTTTTGGGGGGGCTTAGATTCTAAAGATTTAATTGAACTGTGTCTCTCTGAGGGATTTTATTTTTTTCTGGTCCTGGGGCTTGAACTGAAGACCTGGGTTTTGTTCCTGACTGTGCTCAAGGCTAGCTCTCTACCACTTGGGCCATGGCTCCACTTCTAGTTTCAAACTGCAGTCCTCAGATCTGAGCCTCCTGAGTAGCTAGGATTACAAGTGTGAGCCACCAGTGCCTAGCTTTACTTTCCGTTTAGTATTAAAATATGTATCACATTATTCTGAAGTAAAATATATCATAAAAGATAAGTTAGCATAAGCCACTAGGTGGTGCTGTCATCACAAAGAAAATATGGCATTACAAAAATTAAATATATATTTTAAATAATCTATGTACTGCTGTGGGAAGAACGCTGGCATATTTTATGTTAAAAAACTTTTCACTATGGTAAATTGGATATATTTTTTTAAAGCTGAGGAGTACATACACAAATCATGAAACATTATACATAAAATAATTGAGAAGAGAAAAATTCCTGTTATTAGAGGAGTCTCTATGTTTAGGAGAATGTTCCTAGAAGCTTAAATTTTACTTTTTATTTTATATGATACATTTCTATAATAGTGGGCTTATTTTCTTTAAAATGTACAAGTCACTGGGAACTGGTGGCTCATACCTGTAATTCTAGCTACTCAGGAGGCTGAGATTCGAGGCTCATGGTTTGAAGCCAGCCTGGGCAGGAAAGCCTGTGAAACTCTTATCTCTAATTAACCACCCCAAAAGTTGGAAGTGGAGCTGAGGCTTAAGTGGTAGAGCATTAGCCTTGAGCAAGAAAGCTCAGGGACAATGTCCAGGCCCTGGGTTCAAGCTCTACAACATATACACCAAAAGATGCTTCGTAGAACATTTACTTGGCATGCACAATGCCCCAGGTTCTATCCCAAACACTGGAAAGAGGGAGGGAAGCAGGGAAAAGGAAGAGAAGGAAGGCAGGGAGGGAGAGAAAAGAGAGAGAGATATGAGCATGTCATGATAAAATGTTTAAAAAGCTCTATTCTTTGGGAATGTTGAAGGAGGTGACGAGATATTATATTCATAAACTGCTTTTTGGTTGTTTTTGTTTCCTAGTCCTGGGGCTTGAACTCAGGGCCTGGACACTGCCCCTGAGCTTCTTTTGCTCAAGGTTAGTGCTCTACCACTTGAGCCACAACACACTTTTGGATTTTTCTGCTTATGTGGTACTGAGGAATAGAACCCAAGGCTTCATGCATGCTAGGCAAGCACTCTACCACTAAACCACATTCCCAGCCAATAAACTGCTTTGTTAAGTGGCACCTCTTCTGCACAACTACTTAAAGACAATAAAAATTCAAAAAGATTGCTCTACTCTTTTAAAAATATACTTTTATGATGCTGCTGAAGGTGCTGTTCCCATTTTATTGGTCAGGTAATGAGTACATTTCCTTTGGGACAATGTCACACTTCCTTTGCTTTTCCTGTCCCCCCTCCTGTCCCTGCCTGCAAGTTGCATAGCTCGTTTTCAAACAAAGCTCTCCTCTTTTAGTGAATTTCAAGCGTCCCATAAGAGCATCGTTAAGTGTAGCGTCACGGTGCTGTCCGTTGCAGCTCTAGAACTTTCTCATTTTCCAACAGAACTTTTATGTCCTTTGATGTCCCCACCCAGCTGCAAGCAAGCCACTTTGAAGTGGCCCCATGTTGGAGTTCCAGCCCATTTGATGACTCTAGCCCCAACACTACCTAGTGCTGACCCAAGATGTCCTCAGGAGAGGTACAGCTGAGTCCTAGCAAGGTGGAGCTGATCATAAGTCATCGCCTGAAGCCTCTGAGTTGGGATTGATTTGCCACAGAGCACTGGGTGCATGCAACACAAGCTGTTATCTGGGAGGCAGATTTGAATTTGGGTGCATTGGCTGTGGGACTGAGAAGCAGGTGAACACAACAGGACCAGGGCCAGGTGAGCGGTGATGTGAAAGACGGCAAGGAATGAAGAGGAGAAGCTTGGGAGGAGGAAACGCTGGCAGTGCGGGTCCGGGTGTCTGCAGCCATCTTACCTGCAGAAACACAGAATGCATGAATGGAAGAGGGCCAAGATTTTCCAGCAAGGATGATTAAGGTATAGCTTGGTTCTTTCCAGCAAGGACAGCGAAGGTATAGCTTGGTTCTCTTAGCTGCACATGCAAAACGAATGGATAGAGATGAACCACAGAGTTCTATTACATTTTTGAATAGCTTTGAATAGATTATACAATGCTCACAAGGTAAGAAATAGGCAAAGATCAAATCTAGGGCATTGCCTGGAACACTGGTATGAGGGTGAAAAAAATACATTCGAGCTGACTGTGGTGGCATCATTATTCAGTCCCCAGAAAGCCTTGAAGAATGTTCTGTGGAGCTCCACACAGGCGGCTCACGCCTGTGGTCCTAGCTGCTCAGG